GAAGTGGAAAAGTTCCACTATCTCAAGGGTTGTCTTCAGGGAGAACCAAAAGGCCTTATTGACTCCTTGAAGATCACGAAGGCCAACTACCAAATTGCGTGGGACATGTTGTTAAAACGCTACGATAACAGCAAGCAATTGAAAAAGCGCCAGGTACAAGCTTTGTTCAATTTGCCAACATTGTCCAAGGAATCAGTGGCTGATCTGCACACTCTGATAGACGGCTTCGAAAGAGTGGTGCAGAATCTGGATCAGGTGATCAAACCAGAAGATTACAAGGACCTTGTACTGGTAAACTTACTCTCAACCCGATTGGACCCAGTAACCCGCAGAGGGTGGGAAGAACATTCTTCGACCAAGGATCAAGATACGCTGGCGGATCTCTCGGAATTCTTGCATCGTAGGATTCGCATCCTGGAACCACTTCCACCGAAGACTTCGGACTCCAAGGCCTCGCATCAAGTCCAACAACCAAGGCAGAAATCATCAGCTGTGAAGGCCAGCTATGGTTCTGTGCAATCGTCTGGGGAACGTTGTGCAGCGTGTAAGGAGAACCATCCTCTCTACCAGTGCTCTTCTTTCCAACGGTTATCGGTACGAGAAAGGGATGCATTGGTGAAATCCAACTCACTATGCAGGAACTGCTTTAGAACAGGACATCTGGCAAACGATTGTCCATCGAAATACTCGTGTCGTAGCTGCAAGGGTCGCCACCATACATTGGTTTGTTTCAAGCAGGAGAAGGATAGCTCTGCAAGGGTCGCAGCGGTTGCTGGGGGCAACCATCCTTCAAGCTCAAAGGATCCTGCCAAGGTCAAGGAGGTATCTGATGCGTGTTCCTCTCAGGTGGTCACTATGGCGGTCACCGACGTTTCGGTTACGGGTGTGACTCAACAGTGTTCATCGCATGTTTTATTGGCAACTGCGGTCGTCGTCGTGGAAGACGACGAAGGTGGACGTGTTCCTGCTCGAGCTCTCTTAGATTCTGGTTCGGAGAGTAACTTCATCACGGAGCGGTTGAGTCAACGGATGAAGACCCAACGCGAGAAGGTGAACATTTCGGTTTGCGGCATTGGTCAAGTGGAAACCAAGGTTAAGCATAAAATCCAGGTGGTAGTGCGCTCGCGAGTCTCTTCTTTCTCGCAATCAATGAGCTTTCTCGTACTTCCGAAGGTAACAGTGAATCTGCCAACTGCTACGTTGAACACAACGGATTGGGCGATTCCTCCCGGGATCAAATTGGCCGATCCCGCCTTTTTCGAGTCCAACCGAGTGGACATGGTACTCGGTATCGAGTCGTTTTTTGATCTTTTCGAATCTGGCCAAAGGATATTCCTAGGCAATCAATTGCCAACACTCAATGAATCAGTCTTCGGATGGGTGGTGTGTGGAGGTTTGTCCAAGTCAAGCCAGAGTCTGCACATTACTTGCAACGTTTCGACAACAGAGAACCTGGAAACTCTGGTTGCTCGATTTTGGTCCAGCGAAGAAGTTGATACGGTCAAGGTTCTCTGTCCGGAAGAAAAACGATGCGAGGATCAATTCAAAAATACAGTCCAGAGGAATCAGGATGGTAGATACACCGTTACTCTCCCGAAGGATGAAGATTTTTCAGCAAGATTAGGAGAGTCCAAGGAAATTGCAATCCGGCGCCTTCAAGGAACCGAACGCCGACTGGAAAGGAATGCGTATCTCCACAAGAGGTACCATGAGTTCATGGAAGAGTATGAATCAATGGGACACATGGAAAAAGTCGAAGGTGCTGCCTTAACCTCAAAATACCGGTGTTTCCTACCACATCATCCTGTTTTTAAGGAAGACAGTACTACCACAAAGGTCAGAGTGGTCTTTGACGCTTCTTGTGCGACGTCATCTGGCGTTTCACTCAACGATGTGTTACTGGTTGGGCCGGTTATTCAGGAAGACTTAAGGTCAATCATTCTGCGAAGTCTTATCAAGCAGATCATGCTCGTTTCGGATGTCGAAAAGATGTTCCGCCAGATATGGATGCATCCGGAAGACAGACGCTTTCTATGCATACTGTGGCGCTCCAATCCGAAGGATGAGATTATCGTATATGAACTCAAGACTGTAACTTATGGTACCAAGCCGGCACCGTATCTTGCCACAAGAACCTTGAAGCAGTTAGCGATGGATGAAGAAGCTGCATATCCTGTAGGAGCTCGAGCGCTGAGTGAAGACACATATATGGATGATGTCATCACGGGAGCGGATTCAGTGCAAGAAGCATGCCAATTGCGTGAACAGCTTAGTGACTTGGCAGCTAAAGGTGGTTTCAAGCTCAGAAAGTGGGCTTCCAATTGTCCTGATGTTTTGGAAGGAGTGGCTGAGGAAAATTTGGCTATTCGAGAGGTAGACGGAATCAATTTGGACCCAGATCCATCTGTGAAGACTCTCGGATTAATCTGGATGCCAAAGACTGATCAGCTGAAGTTCAAATTCAATATCCCTACTGTACAAGCAGATCAGCAACTTACCAAGAGACAAGTACTTTCCATTGTGGCAACATTGTTCGATCCCCTAGGTCTGCTCGGTGCAGCAATAACAACGGCAAAAATCGTGATGCAACTACTTTGGAAATTTCGCGACTGCAACGACCAAGCGCTAGATTGGGACCATCCACTGCCTTCCACGGTGGGTGAGATTTGGAGAAAGTATCACGGACAGCTTCCTCTGCTGAACGAAATCAGAATCGATCGCTGTGTCATAATACTCGATGCGGTTTCTATCGAAATCCACTGCTTCTCAGACGCCTCTGAGAAAGCCTATGGTTGTTGTGTTTACGTGAAAAGTGTAAATACAGCAGGGTTGGTTAAGGTGCGGCTACTTTCTTCCAAATCGCGAGTAGCTCCCTTAAAATGTCAAACAATTCCCCGCTTGGAGCTATGCGGCGCTCTGCTATCAGCGCAACTCTTCGACAAGGTTCGAGAATCCCTAAAAATACCTACGCACACGTATTTTTGGACAGATTCCACCTGCGTGCTGCGTTGGATCCAAGCTGCACCTACAACCTGGACTACGTATGTCGCCAACCGAGTGGCAAGGATTCACACGTTCACCAATCCAGATCAATGGAGGCACGTTCGAGGAGTTGATAATCCTGCTGACTTGATTTCCAGAGGTATCATGCCAGAGGACATCATCCAGAGCGATTTTTGGTGGCGAGGCCCCAGGTGGCTGGAGCAGAAGCCAGAACAGTGGCCAAAATCAACAGAATCCCCGATTACGACGGAAGCTGAACAGGAAAGGCGACGTACGGCGGTTGTTTACACCAGCTCTGTAATCTCAGAATTCAACAATTGGTATTTAGGTCAATGTTCCTCGTATACCGAACTCATCAGACGAACGGCGTATTGGTTGCGGTATCTGAAGTTACTGCGTACTCCACGCGAACAACGAAAACCACCGAAGTTTCTCACGTCAACCGAACTGAGGATAGCAGAGATCACCCTAGTACGGAAGGTTCAAGAGGAATGCTTTACGGAAGAATGGAAGGCAATTTCGAAGGGAGAATCGGTTCCCAGGAAGTCACCGCTACGGTGGTTTAATCCGTACATATCCGAGGATCGAGTCATACGAATTGGAGGAAGGCTACGTCACTCAGAGGAAGCTGAGGATGTCAAACACCCAATGGTTTTGCCAGCCCGTCATCAACTCACCAAGATGATACTGCGCCATTATCATGAGAAGTTATTGCACGCTGGGCCACAATTACTACTGGCAACCGTATACGCTTACGCTTTTGGCCGTTGGGAGGAAGAAGTGTAGCACGAAACGTTGTCCACCAATGCATCAAATGCTTCCGAGCGAAACCATCGTCGATAGAGCAATTCATGGGAGAGTTACCGTCACCACGTGTCACTGTGTCGAGACCCTTTTCGCAGACCGGTGTGGATTATTTTGGACCGTTTTATGTACGGTCAGCACCACGACGTCCGGTTGTGAAGATGTACGTCGCTTTGTTTGTCTGTCTCTGCACTAAGGCAGTTCATCTAGAACTCGTATCCGACCTCTCCACGGACAGATTTCTTCAAGCGCTGCGACGATTCACATCCAGAAGAGGAAAATGCCAGGATTTGTACTCCGACAACGGTACTAATTTTGTTGGGGCACGTAACAAGCTGCGGGAGTTGTACGAATCAATGAGGAACAAGGAGCATCAAGAAACAATATCGAAACATTGTCAAGAAGAGGATTTGCTTATTTTATTTTCAGCAATTAGATCAATTACTGGGTGGGTGAGGATGTTGAGGAGTGACATATCCGTCCCCTTTAAACTACAATCCTGATGTCCACTGGATATAACTACGACCGCTTCCTATTGTTCTGCTGATCATCCATCCAGTAGACAAGTCAGAGCAGAAACTGGTAGGAAGCCTGAAGTGATAAACAACCCTTCGTGTCTACCTACAATAAGAGTAGCCGATACGGAGTAAGATGCCAGGCTGTATGGGAGATTGTAGGAGTCACTGCGTATTCTAAACGCAGTGGTGAATATGCTCGTGGGAGTTGAGGCAGTAGTAAGAGAGAGAGATCTCATTCTCCCTGTTCCAACGGATGGCCCCGAACTTCATCGATCGTCGGTCTGTGGATGACCAGTGGTATTTTTAGGAGCAAATAGTCAGTAAGCATTGTCCGATCGTTAGCGCCGGTCAAGAGCCACGCATGGCTAGTTTTTATCGTTTAGATTAAGCGTCCATTGTTAGTTTTAAGGCAATAAATGTAGTTTGTGTAGTTAGTGTTTTTTGTTGGTTAAATAGAGTATTTCAATTAAGCCGCGAGTGTAGTGATTTTACGGCGGAAGAATTCCCCACCAAAAACCTATGGATTACTTCCATTGACCCATTGGAAGAGACCGAGTGTTGAGGATCCACCCAGTCGAAGGAGCCAATCATCCAGTTCCCCAACAATCCCGAATGTCGTCTTCAGATGCTCTTTACTTTTCTCAAATTGAAAATCATTGTCCTGTTCTTTTCCAGATCAACACTGCCGACATGCGCACCCGCCAGGAGTACCTCCGGACCCAGCGGGACAAGATCTTGCAGATCAAGAAGCAAGCCCGTGCACGCCAGCTGAACGAATCCATCAAGAAAAGCGACCGCCCGGCGTCAGCTCAGGTAGCTCAGAAAATTTTGGAATCGGGTACCACTGACGGAGCGGTCCCCATGGATCCACCGGAATCTTCACTGCAGCTGCGCAAAATGCTCGCACAACGACTGCGCACCGAAGTGATCGAGGATAAGTAAACTTTGGGTAGATCTAATATTTTGGAACAATGATGTGAAAGTTAGTTTTTTTTTGCTGCTCGTGGCTTGTGAATTTCCCCTTATGAAAATCGTGCAGTGTCCATCCTATCAATACTCAACTAAAGTGACGTTTGTGATATCATAGCAACCAATAAAATCTCGTATTTGGCACTTACTGAATTGGAAATGTTGTGCGGAATTGTGATACAATCCGAAAATGAAACTACCTGATTTACCTTACCAGATGTTGTTTTATTTCTCTTCCTCCATTAAAATGCTTAAGTTTTTACTAAATTGTCAAACATGTTTGGTTGCTTCGCTTGTCCAGCCACATTACTTCTATATCGAACATCCCGAATCGAATAACCTCTCCTTATTTGTTTTATTAGCTTCCATTTAGTTTCATTTTATGAGTGGTTGTTTATATCAAAAAGAATGCACAGAGAATTGTTTTTTTTTGTATTTTTTTTAACTTGTCACTTGTATTTTTTGCTGCATGAATTGTGATTTGACCTATTTTCTTTTTGTTGTATAATTCACCTATTAGCTAGTTTATATGGTAATCCGATTAGTGTTGAGTTTGCTTGTTTGCAGTTTTTCTTCATTTAGTTTGCTGTCTTAGTAAGATTAGCGCAAGTATTCTTGTTTTCCTCATATTTCGGCTTCATTCTTCTACTGGCATGTTTGATTCAGCTTTGATTCTACTGCAGCCCACGGTGTACACTATAGGAGGTGAGATATTCCGGAAAATGACATTTGCGCGATGACGTCATTGCTATCCATCTCGTAAACAAGCGCGAGAGAAAGCAGTCTATGAGCGAAGTTAGTGTTTTCAATGCAATTTGCTTTATTTTATTGCTTTTATTGTGGATAATATAGTGGCTTGTGTTTTCTTCATTTAGTTAAAATACTGTACGGCTGGTGTTTATGATGCGTGATGTTAGAAATTAAAACGAGAAGCATTCTGAGCTAACGATTTTCTTTCTAGAGAGCAACACGAGGATGCCTTCTCTGGCTTTAATATTTGATTTGATCTGATGAAAGTCATTCAAATTCATTGGCCAAACCCAGACATACCCCGGATTCCACCAGGGAAGTGGCTATACCCGGAGATAATCCGAGATCCACCGGGGAAGTGCCCAGAATATGACTCGAATTAAAACCTATCATGTGACACATCATATCACATGAGAATTCAAAAACAAAGTCAGCCTTCGTTTCGACCACTCCGTATTCAACAAAATATCTTTCAGCCTGTAATCTTGCTCGGAGAAATGTTCCGAGCAGATTTTCAAATGTTGTTGCGTATTTAAATTTCTACCGCAGGCTTCCAACCACAAAACTTTCAAACTTTCCTCACGCGGAAACCAAAAATACTTTAATTGTATCGAACACAGTTTATTCCCTTCGTAATTACTGCAGTTAATTACAGCACACTTCACCATTTTCAACAAATTAAACTCGCACTGCACGGCATAAAATCTATAGTGTACACCGTGTCGCACTACACAATTCGCGTTGCTACGGTTCGCGCTGTTGAAAGATAGCAATGACGTCATTTGTTTACATCCGAACCAGATGTTTACTGTCGGTAGTAGCCTGCCTTGTTATGTATGCCGTGCTGCAGCCTAGCATCGTCATTTCTACTAGCTTTGCGTTTTTTTTGTTTGTTTTCTACGAAAAATGAGAGAATCGATGATCCAAGAAAGCGACGTTTAGTTTGACAGATGTGAGTGCGAACCAAACCGTCACAACGGAATTTACTATTGGGTTTAACAGTGTTAGTGGTGGTGGTGGTGGTAATTATGGTGTGTTGGTGGTAGCTAGTGTTTACAGATCACAAATTGTGTTACCCCTCGCTTTTTTTTCTTCATCTAATTTTCGAACATTCAAAGCGCAGTGCATGTTTGGTTTGAATTAAGTGGCTGACTTGTTTATGTTTGGTTCTCATTTGACGTACTTTTGCTGCTTAAACGTTAGTATAAATACTGATGGCCTACTACAATTAGTGAAAGTTTTTAATTTGGTTTGCGACTTTTCTCTTATCTTTTTATTTGCTAGTAGTAGTTGAAACTGTATCTTTACTTGCAAAAATAAGGCTTTTTACAACAATATTCTTACTTTTGTTTCCTTCACTTATAATAGAGTGTATTCTTTCTTACTTAATACGGTAACACATCAACATAAATGTTTATTTACGGCTGACAAATTAAAGGAAGTGATTCATTCATGTTTTGGACATTGTATATTTAATGCAAAAGGAAATAAACTCATGGTTTATTTAGCTAGCCAACTTCGTTCATACCTCAGAAGATCGTAAGTTAGTTTTTTTTTGGGATTTATTGCAATGGGTTCATTAGTCAAAGCCTGCCTCAGAAGGCTGTGGCTATTGGAAATTTCAAGGCTACCCTGAAGGACTCGATCGATTTATTTATAGGTAAAATCGTAGCCTTCCTCACGATTACATCCAAATCTACTAAGTACTGTTAGAGGTATCATTTCTTGATTGACAAACTTCTATTCAAATTCTTCCTTCAAACTTATGGACGACAATGATCTACCTTAATTATCCTCTCCATTTTTTGTTTTTTTTTTCACAATCAATTTTATCCAAAAATCACAAACTTAATAACAGTTAAGATTCACGACGCTAATGAAGGACGGGGAATTTCTAGTGTTTTCCTTTTATCGTTAAATTTTTACGCTTCAGCTCCACTTTCATATACGGGAAATGACAAGTAAGATTCATTACAAGTTAACAAATTTCCGGGAAACAAAAGACGAAAAATGGAAATGCAAAGTTTTGGATGGAAAATATCTCAATCAACAAAGTTTGAGATTGAAGATGCTTCAGCAGCAAATTATGACAATGACAACAACAACAACAACAACTAAAATCAGTGGATTCAAATGAAACCAGAAACTCTTCGCACCGAACCAACTTGAAAGAAAACGAAAAACAGCAATACCCATGGAAAGGACGGGATGATGGAAATCAAAACTTTTTCTTTAGGATTTTCCCTCTACAAAAACAAAATCTGGGAGGAAAACGAGACATTTCAACGCCTCCTTGGTTCACGCTTTAGAAAACTAACAAACGATCGGCACTACCCTCTTGGCTGTCATCGTCGTCTTCGGAATCTTCGGCGTCCTCGTCGTCTGTGTTGAGCGTGTTGGCATTGTTGATAATCTCGTCTGCAATGGAGTGAAAGGTATACAATAAATTTGAGATTAGTTTTTGGAGACATAACAACCGACGAAGTTTGACAGTTTATAATTTATTCTGTTTATTTTTTGTAACTGATAAGAAAAGAATACGAGCATAAGCAAGCGGAAGGCATTAAACCATTGTTGATGGTTTGTTAATTGTGTTTTGAGCGTTCTTCCCTTCAGAGGAATTTCTAGCTGCTTCTGCGTGGGTGGGTGTTTTTACTGAAACGATAGATCCGTTTCTATGGAAAGCAACCAGAATCTTAGGCAATTAGGAAACCATTCCCATATTGACATCTAGATTAGTATAATGGTGCAAGCCGATGTCGAACCAGAAAAATTTGGTTGTGTTGGTTTGGTAACGAATTCAGCATGCTCTATGTTGGAATTGTTTCGGTTGAAATTTCATGGAGACGCTTGGTTGTTTATACATTTTATATTTGGCTTATTCCAGCTCAAGTGTATGCATGCATACACCACCTGAGGTCGAAGTCATCGATTTCAACCAAATTGCTAAAGTTCCTATTTTGATATTCTAAGAAAACGCCTTTTTTGGGTTTGTCTTAAATCCTTGCTTCCCTCTGGGCTTCAACTCTGAAATTTTGAGATCTTTAGAAATTATAATAAAAGATAAATGTCAGTGACACATTTGATCGCGATCAGCTCGCGAGCTGATGAAAAGATCAGAACTTGCGTTCACGCTGAATGGGCTACAACATGGTGAGTTGACAACCTGGAAGGAGCGGAATACCTATCTCTGGTCCTTATCACGCCTCCCCGAGTCATATGATAACAAAAGACTACCAGCTGTTAGTGTTGTATCAGCACTGCATGTGCGTGCGTAGCAGCGAAGCTGCTTTCGGCTCGATAAGAGCAATCAATAAACGAAAGCTCAGTTTCAGTTTGAGCGTGCAATAGAGTACATCCTCGGTGTAATACCTCTGCCATCCGATACCTCTTATAACATAAGTTATTTCAGTGGCGAACGAGGTGAAAAAAGTTAAAGTTTAATTCGCGAGTTTCATTATTATTTTAGAGCCGTGGTTTAGTGTATCGAAAAAGTGGCTGCAGTTTGCCGCAGGTGCGATTAAAACACAACGGCCAACAGATCACCTCAAGTTTGGTTGGTCACCGTCGGTGGTTATTGGTTTAATTTGATTTCCGCTTTGCGTTGTAGTTTTGCACTATAGAAGTTTAAAAAATTATTGAAAACGGTTGCTTGAATAAGTGTTAAAAAACATAAACCACGTGAGAGTGATTCTAATGATCATCTGTTTGGTCATAGCGTGAAAGCCCCGGTGATAGCAACCACCATTGTCTGCTTTCTTATAGAAAGGCTTTGTGACCCGTGTGAACGACCGATAATAAAAAAAAACGGCCGGAGGTCAGTTCAGGTCAACAGTGTGCATTGTAAGATAGGCGATAGTGCGAAAGTTTTTTTTTTACTGCTGCTTCAACGCTGCTGAGAAGGATCTGCTGTACCGTGTGTGGTAAGGTTGGAAGAAATTGTTTTATCGCTGTCTGGTAATTCGTCGTTCTGCTATCAGCATCATGTCGTTGGTGAATAGTATTGAACCTTACATTCCCGGTACTATTCCATTTGCTCAGTACATGGAACAGCTGAATTGGATCCTAGTTCATCAGAAGATCCCAGCTGATGAGCATAAGGCAACATTCCTTGCTTCATGTGGAACGGAGATTTATTCTGAACTGAAACTGTTGTTTCCGGGTAGAGTCTCGCAGAGTCAGCATTAAAAGATCTGATGGATTCGCTTAAAAAGTGTTACGACAAAAGTGAGAGCGACCTGGTGCAACGAGTTAAGTTCTACGCTCGTTCTCAAAGGCCAACGAGAGATCGGTGGATTTCGTGCTGTCGGTTAAGCAACTCGCTGAGTTTTGCAACTTTGGGACCTTCAAGTAGTAAGTAAACAACTCCAGGAGCAGCTGCTGGACGAAGACGAGTTAACTTTAGCGAAGGCGGAGAAAATTATTTTAAACCGCGAACAGGCCGTGGAGCGAGTAACCTTTATCAACGAGGAGCCAGCCAGGATTAGTGTGGTGGAGCGTCTTGGGACCAAACAAGTTGGGTTTCAGCGCCAACCAACACCTACATTGTCGCACGGTCGTGTTAGAAGTCGTGAACGCCGTAGCTATCGAAACAGTGGGAGTCGCAGCCGTAGTAGGAGCCTTTCTACACCAAGGAAAGGAGGAAGGAAGGTTTATTTCTGCAACTACTGCCGCAGAAAGGGACATACGCACAAGTATTGTTTTGATTTAAAACACCAAAAGCCATCGATCAAGTCAGTCGCCGTTGTATCGAAAAAGCCAGATCTATCGGAGAGGTTGAGAAGAGCTGCAAAATCGGACTCAGAAGAAGAAATGGATGTCTTGGTGATTTCCACCACTCAACGCTCCAGCGCCCCATGCCTCATCGAGACCCGTGTCGATAATACATTTCTGCAGATGGAGATAGACAGTGGATCTGCTGTATCCGTGGTCAGCAAGCAAACATATAGTGAATGTTTTAAGTACAAGCCGTTGTCGAAGTGCAATTTGAAGCTGGCGGTCGTCGATGGTGCCCGTTTGACGGTTACAGGTCAGATAATGGTTACAGTGGAAATCAATGCACGGAGCGAGAAAGTATCGTTAGTGGTGTTGGAGAGCGGGATTCATTCCGAGGTCAATTGATGGTGAACTATACAAGCGTTTCGAAGGAGGACAGAGTTGTGGAAGACATCAAGAGCAAGTATCCTCTAGTCTTTGACAACGATTTTTCTGTTCCTATAACGGGGTTTGAAGCAGATTTGATACTCAAGGAAGATAAACCGATTTTTAGACGAGCTTATGAGGTTCCCTATCGGTTACGTGACCAGGTTGTCGAGCATATTGACTCACTGGAGCAAGATGGTGTTATCACTCCAATTGAAGCAAGTGAGTTGGCTTCACCTGTGATCATTGTTGTTAAGAAGGACAAGGGCATCATAATGGTAGTTGACTGTAAGGTTTCCATCAATAAGCTCATTGTACCTAATACGAATCCGTTGCCTGTTCCTCAAGACTTGTTTGCTTCATTGTCTGGTTCAAAGATCTTTTGTTCTCTTGATTTAGCAGGTACATATACCCAGTTGCGTCTTTCCAAAAGGTCTAGGAAGTTTATGATAATCAATACAATTAAGGGTCTTTATTCGTACAACCGTTTGCCTCAGGGAGCATCTAGCAGTGCCTCCATTTTTCAAAAAGTGATGGATCAAGTTTTGAAATGTTTGGACGGTGTTTTTTGCTATTTAGAAGACGTTCTGATAGCAGGAGAGGATTTTAAAGATTGTAAGAGGAAACTTTATTTGGTTTTGGAACGTTTGGCCAAGTTCAACATTAAAGTTCATTTAAAAAAATGCAAATTTTTTGTTTCCAGTTTGCCTTATTTGGGACATGTGTTAACAGAGAAAGGTTTGTTGCCTTGTCCTGGGAAAGTTGAGACGATTCGCAGAGCTAAAGCTCCGAATAACGTCACGCAGCTGAAGGCATTTTTAGGTTTAATCAACTACTATGGTCGATTCATTCCCAACTTATCCTCTCGCCTCAATCCACTATACAGTTTGTTGAGGAAAAACACAAAATTCGTTTGGTGTAATGAATGTGGCAAAGTATTTGATGACTGCAAAAAAGTGTTTCGCAAACCAAACTTTTTGGAATTTTATGATCCTGACAAACCCCGATTGTTGTTATATTGGATGCCTGTGGGTACGGTTTAGGAGGAGTCATAGCGCACGTTGTCGGTAAAGAAGAAAAGCCAATAAGCTTCACTTCATTTTCGCTTAATGATGCGCAGAAATCGTATCCAATTTTGCATTTAAAGGCACTTGCAGTGGTTAGTACAATAAAAAAGTTCCATAAGTTTTTGTATGGAAAGAGATTTACTATTTACACTAACCACAAGCCCCTAATTGGTATTTTTGGAAAAGATGGCAAGAATTCAATTTTTGTGACGCGTTTGCAAAGATACATTTTGGAGTTATCGATCTACGATTTTGATATCATCTATCGACCATCATCAAAAATGGGTAATGCTGATTACTGTTCTCGTTTTCCGTTACCACAAGAAGTTCCACGTGTTTTACAAAGGGAATATATCAAAACAATCAATATCTCTGGTGAAATACCATTGGACTATACAAGGATTGCGAAGGAAACACAAAACGACGGGTTTCTTCAACAAGTTTTGTCGTTTATGAGGAACGGTTGGCCCAATTAACTTCAAAGGAGTTTTAGGGATGTTTTCTCGCACCATCAAAATTTAGAAGAGCTTGATGGATGTTTGATATTCCAGGATCGTATAGTCATTCCTGCAAAGCTTCAGGATTTAGTTTTAAAACTGCTTCACAGAAATCATTCTGGCACCAGCAAATTCAAGCAGTTAGCCAGAAGTTCGGTATACTGGTTTGGAATAAACAGTGATATTGAAAATTTTGCTAAACATTGCAGAGTTTGTAGCCAAATGTCTGTTGTTCCCAAGAAATCAGTGCAAACTACGAGTTGGATACCAACCAGCCGCCCATTCAGTAGGATTCATGCAGATTTTTTCTATTTTCAGCAAAAGGTTTTTCTTGTCATAGTTGACAGTATTCGAGGTGGTTAGAAGTCGATTACATGAAATACGGTACGGATTCTATGAAGGTTAAAAGCAAGTTTATGGTTTTTTTTTGCAAGGTTTGGTCTTCCAGATGTCATTGTGACAGATGGGGGTCCTCCGTTTAACTCCAAAAATCTTGTTTTTTTTTTTTTTTTTTTTTTTTATTTTTATAGTCACTTTAACACTCTTGAGTCATTCGTGACTTGTCCGGGGGTGAGATTTGAACTCGTGACTTTGGCGTGAGAGGTATGGATGTTAACCACTACACCGGGGTCGCCCCCGAATAAATATCTTGTTGACTTTTTCAACCAACACGGTATTCAGGTCATGAAAAGTCCACCGTATCACCTCTCGA